CCATCCTTGTCCACCCTGGCTGGCCAGTCTTCCATGTCATTGTCCTCGCAAGTCTTCTCCTGCAGGCCCCCGAAGTCGAGGGCTACAACATGGTAGTTGTCACCTCCAGAGGACCCGACAAGGATGAACTTGAGGCTAGTGGAGTCCTGGGTGGTTGTGATGATCTCAGGCTTGAGCTTGAGGCCATCAGGAAGCGCCGCTGTCTTCCAGTTGAGACCGTGATCCAAGGAGTAGCTAACCTCGCCGACGTCGTCCTTCTTGGAGTCCTTGACAGCTACTAGTAGCGAACCTTGATCACCAAACTCGTACTTGTGAGGGCCGTCCAGAGCCTTCTTCCAGGAGGCACCGGCGTCATCCGAGACGAACAGGTTTCCCTCTTCGAAATCATTCAACGAGCCACCCGTGTTGCCAACACCCATGACGAGGCCTGGTGCAGGGCTCGAGAAGACCCGACCGACATTGTCAAGGTGAGTCACTGAATGTAAGTGGACTCGATCGTCGCCGGCCTTGATATCGTGGAAAGTCCTGCCGTCATCAAACGTGATTTGAGTGACAACTTCTTTCCTGCTGCCGCCGTGCTTCTCAACGTCCTCCCAGTTCTTGACGGTGTTGACGAGGAATATGCCCTGGATGCCCGAGATCTTTTCAAAGTCGACATTGCCCCTCTCGTTACGGTTCGTGTGCTCGAGGTTCTCGACAAAGAAGGTGCCATTAGAGTTGCTCGTGAACATAACACCCATGGGGTTTGAGGGACGGGTGTTCATGACATCGACCTGGATGCTGTAGTTGGTGCCCTCGAGGACAGTGTAGGCGCCCTGGTTGACCTTGTGGCCGTGCGCCGCCGGAAACATGGCGCGGTGCCACTTGAGAGTGTCGTCGGTGACAAAGAGAGACATTTCGTCTGTGTTGATCGATGTTGTGGCAACCAGCAAGTACTTCTTGACGACGGCCAGGTTGACGACTCCCTGAATGCCGTGATTCGTATCCAGGTTCGGCTCAAATTGTTGTACCTGGCCGTCGATCTTCTCGAAAAAGTTGTCCGAGATGAACAGTCGCTGATCCTCCTTGAAAGGCGAAATCGAGTCGGCACCGATGCAGAGGACGCGCTGGCGGTCGAGATCGTCCTTGCCAGTGGTGAACAGCTCGGAGGACTTGGCCCACCAGCAGCCCTCGGTCGAGCCCCTGAGTGTCTTCGCCTCCTTGAAATTGTTGGTTGTGTACGTGGCCACTTCGTTACAGAATATGCCTGCACAATCCATGCCGTTGAAAATCACGCGATCGGGATCACCGGCGTGAAAGCTGAGGATCTGGTCTCGGTATCGGCTCGTCTGGGCGGCGCTGTCAAATTTCTCCCAGGACTTGCCACGGTCGGTGGTCTTGAAGTGTTCTCTGCGGTCGGTGATGATGAAGGCCCGGCTGTTATCAAACTCGTGCATGGCCAGGGTATACGCGACGCCATCAGGAACGCCTGCGACTTTTCCCCAAGAGACTCCAGCATCGTCGGATCGATAAATGTTGTTCTCGGACATGTCATGAAACAGTACCACGTCTGAGTCTTCGAAGTAATTCATGTTCAGCGGCGGGTGCTTGAACTTGGACACCTTGATTGTAGGTCCATCATCCTTTGCCAATGTCGTCGTTGTCCATGACAGAACGAACAATAGAGTGCGCCATGAGGCTGCACCCCTGCCCCAAATCCTCATCTTGTCGCACTGGTCGGGAGGACGGTCGTGATCATCCAGAGGGCACGTAGGGTCGGAGGAGAGCAATAGCGAATAGGTATGATGTCGCAAAGACTTGAACAACAAATGGGCCAGGTAGATTGGATGTGCCCGCGTTGGTAGATGGACAGGGTGGTGATGAAGTTGAAGCTACTGGGGTTTGGAAATTGGCACTGCTACCTGTTCTTGAGGCACGAAAGGGAAACGTCAGCATAACCCAGACCCTGCGTGTTTCGTAGCTCTCGCCCCCACTGAGCATTGGACAGCCGGGCCGTGAGTGGGCGCTCGCGCCAGACACTGGCTTGACTGGGGGCGGCCCCTTGAGCTCTGAGCCCTGCTGCCGCTAGCCATCATCGCCACTGGATCCGCTAAGCTTCAGCTTTGAAGACTCCACTCCAGCTCTTTTTAGGCGCCTTGTCAGCACGTGAAAGGATTCAGGCCCCGACTCTTCGCCTACTCCACGCCGTCCGTTTCACTACCTACTGAGAGCCGCGGGCAGTGACCCAATCCCCAGAGCGATCGAATTCACCACAGGCTACTTACCTCCTGGTCAAGATGTCGACATGACACGGACAGACTGGAAAACGATCAGCATGTGAAACAGGATCTTCGGAGTATCAAATGTTTCCTTCTCGTATTGGCTGATCCATGTACGATTCGGTTGGACTAACAATTGCATGATCTGGAACATGGAAACAACATGTAGTGTATTTTGGGAGTGCGGCCTCCATAGGCCTCAGCAGCACAGCTATCATAGCCGTCGCGCGCTGATGCTGGCACAATACTTGCATTCCAGCAAGCCGCGAACAGAACAGGTTCTACTTAGATCTCATGAAGTGACAATCGACCGAATGAGCTCAACCGGTTACCCTCATCTACCTCCCAAGTTTGTACGAAGACACTGACTTCATAAGCCCCCGCAGCATCGCACTCGAGGACGCGCAGTATCATCTTACCGCCGCCACCTTCTAGGAGGCAAGCTCGTCGTGTCGATTTCTGTCAGAGACTGGCATGTGGCACATACAGCCCAGGCCTTGCATGACCCGGCATAACTTAGTATGACCCTTGGTGAGGCCTGCAGGCGTGAGAGGCTTCAGCCAGCGAGCGAAGCATGCGAAGCGTGCGAAGCAGAACGTATGCTGTCATGCTGTTTGACCCGATACTTTGGCGCGTAGGAATCAGAAAGTCAATCAGCCCTGGGCCTTCTCCTCGACTTTCTCCCCGACTTTCTCCTCGGGCTTCTCCTCTTCTGGCAAGACGCCATTCTTAGGCTCGCCATCGGCATCGAAACCAAGTGCTTCCAGTTCCCGTACAAGTTCGTTAATCTTGATGACCTTGGCGATCTGCTCCGGTAGCAGTGCTCGCCACCCTCCTTCTTGGTCTGCAACTCCTTTGCCTGTCGCAGCTTTTTTTCTGAGTGCCCTCGCCTTTCCTGGGCACGTTCCACCTCAGGGATCGACCTCATCGACGACTTTCTTTCGGGCGGTTCCGCGTTTTTCTTCTCGGTCACGCCGTCGTCGCCATCGTCGGCTTCCGCTTTGGCCTTCTTCCGTGCCTCGCGCCGCTTCGCATTCTTGGCGCTTGCGGCTGAGCCATCGGCCTTGTCATCGCTCAGACCGACGGTCCCCGGACGCCGCGCGCGGCGCGAGCCT